ATTATTATATATGCCTGAGTGGGTTTTTTTGTTTGTGTGTTTTTTAAAAAGTGGACAGAGAGAAATACTGTTAACTGATGGTACATGGTGGGGATTATAATCAATGTAATGAAACAAGATATATGATTTGTTGAATGTAAAACTGATGATATGCCTTGTAAACTTTCACTCAATCCACAATAAAAACCTTAAATTAAAAAAAAAAATTAAAGGTGAAAAACCTTGAAGAATGAAATCAATGCTACTGTTGCACATGTACAAATTGTTGGAAAGGCGTATGTTTTGTTATGTGTATTCCCACCCACACAAAAAAATTTTAAATGGGGGAAAAAAAGAAAAAAGTAGGCATCAGATTTATAACATTCACAGCATATATTGAGCAAGGGCACATACAAACAAAATGATTCATTTAAGACACTGGAATTAGTGTCCATGGATGGGATGGGGATTAGGGAACAGGAATGAAAGGGGATGCATTTGTCAAATATATGAATAAAAGCGAGAACTCTCTGGAATTGAGGTAGGGACACATGCAGTCAAGTTTTGACACTTCTCTTTACAAGGCAAGCCATTTAACCCTTCAGGGCCTGGGTTCCCCAACTAAATCTGGAGACAGTGATGCCTCTGCTGTTGGGGTGTTCCAGGGAGTATGGGACTTACCCAATGCTGGACTGGGAGTTGTTGAAGACTTTTATGGTTACTGGACATTTGCTGTATTCTCCTTTATACAGTGTGCTGTATTCATTTTTCCTTAGCTCTATCCATGGAGCACCTAGGAGCTGTTCCTTCTTAATCTCCTTGATCTGTTCTTGTGGGAGCTGTTTCATGGGTTTCTGTAAGTCTAACCTCAGCCCCAGGAGAGAAGGGAATAAAGAGTCAAGGAGACGAGGAAGCTGTCCTAAGTGGTATCATATCGGCATACGAGTGGGATATCCTGCATCATGACCCAAAGCTGGTTCTGCCCCACTTAACGCTGGGGAGAGGTTCCATTGCCTCAGAAAGACACAGGGATAGGCTTAACATAAGTGTGTTATTAATTTCCTTTCACTCCACTTAACTCCTGCCTATCTCTCTACTCTGGTAGTGTAGTGGTTATGAAATCGGGCTGCTAACCTCAGGGTCATCTGTTCGAAACTACCAGCTGTTCCTCAGTAGAAAGATGAGGCTTTCTGCTCCCGTAAAGGTAAAGATTTACAGCCTCGGAAACCCTGTACAGGGTCACTATGAGTTAGATCCAACTCCACGACACATAACAACATCTCTCTACCTTTAAACTCCATCCCTCTCAATCTTTCATTTTGGAGTTCTCTCTACTCTACTCCTGGCTCAGAATATAGATGAGGGCAGGGCTAGGGGATACTGGAGTTACTAGTAAACAGATGACTTCTAGTTTGGGTACAGTCAAAAGCAGCAGGGTGCATGATAACTTACATTGTCTCAAGGTTTCAATGTTCTTTTCTAGTTGCCTTAGCAAAAATTCTATATTTTCCTTTTCTGCAGGAAAAAGAAGAACACATAATCAAAGATAGAAATGTAAATTAAAACCACTTTGAGATACAATTTTCTTTCACCTGTCATATTCACTGGGGAAGGATTTATTGCTTCTCTACAGTATCCAGCTTTCTTCTAAGTAAGCATGAAATACCTGGAAATGTTTGACAATGTGACTTGCATTGGCCATAAAACAAGGTGAGAGAGATGTGTACCCCTTCCCATTGGACAAATTTAACTGAATTTGCTCAACACTCTAAAATGACTGCTTGGGGGTGGGGGTGGGGGTGGGGGTGGGGGTGGGTCAGGGACGATTGTGTTTCTCCACATGGAAGTGTCCAAGTATCGAAAGCACCCTATGGACCCACATGGTTGCTTTGGAAAGTCTCTTGGACTACATGTCTCAGTAAGAAATAAACTTGCATTATTTTAAGCATAAAGGTTTTTTGTTTTTGTTTTTGTTTTTGAAACTATAGCATAATGTAACCTTATCCTGACTTATCCAAGGAAGCTTCAAAAAGTTATTTGAAAAATTACATTATGAACAAAAAAAGAGAAAGAGAGAGAGAGAGAAAAAAAAGATTGCATTATCTTTTCATTCCATTTTTTGCAGAAATATTTTTAAAAATTGGTAATGTACTATCTTACGGAAAACAACCATCCCACTTTGCTCAGAACTGAAGAGTTCCTGGGCTGGGGACCTTCCTTCATTACAAAGGTCCTGGGACAGTCTCTAGTGGAAAATGCATTGGATAACAGATTGTCTTACACATTGTTGGGAGGAGTGAGATTTATACAACCACTGTGGCAAGTACTCAGCCTCTATCAAAATCTAAAATGCCTATACTCTTTAATTCACACTTACACCCACTACTTCACCTTCTAGCATTTTCCTCAAGATATCTGGAAACAGAAATAGGCTCATTGCAGCTATAAACAACAGGGCACAACTTAAATATCCATTGATAGGGCATAGTTTAAACACAGTACAGTTCGTATATGCTCTTGAACCATACTAGACAACTCTGCAGACAGTCACAGGGAATAATATTCAAGATTAGTTCATGAATAACTATTATCAGGACTGATTGTGAGGGTCGGAAATGTAAAGGTAGATGTTTTATAGCAAGGAGGGGAGTGATTAACTTTGCAGTCTAGGAGCAGAGGTCCTTGGGACCATCAAGGGAGAAGAGCGAAGTGTGGGACCCTACCCAGAGAAGCAGTGATGCCTGAGATGGAGACAGAGACAATGACGTGGAGAGATGGAGCAGCTGGGGACTTTAGACCCAGAGAGGGGAGAGGGGCTGTGTGCTGACGACTGGGGGGCAGGGTTGCAGGGTATAGCCTTTGGTTGGTTGATGATGCATGGAGGGGATTGTAACCATGGCAATGAAACAATGTACAATAGGATGACTGTAAAACTAATGTTATCCCATGTAAATGATCACATAATTCACAATATTAAAAAAAAAGGATTAGTTCATGAAAATAGCAGAACACTGTGATTAGTACCCTCCTGATTATATAACATCGGCAGCAACAAAATTGTTGTTGTTGTTAAGTATCGTACAGTTGGTTCCAACTCATAGTGACCCTGCACAGGGTTTCTGAGGCTGCAAATCTTTGCGGGAACAGAAAGCCTCATCTTTTTCCCGTGGAACAGCTGGTAGTTTCGAACTACTGACCTTGAGGTTAGCAGCCCGCTTCGTAACCACTACACTACCAGAGCAACAAAATATATAGACTTAAATCTCTAGAAGGCTGTTTAGGAAGTTAATAGGAGATATTGTGTCTGGAGAGGAAACAGTGACCCGTGAGGTCAAAGTTGAGAGGGAAATTGCTACTCTGTGTCCTTTTTGTCCTTTTGAATTTTGTACTACGTGATTTTGTTAGCTAATAAAGAATGTTCTAAAAAATGTGAAAGCAAGTACAAGAAGCTAAGGCTATGTTCCAGGTTGATGTCATGCATGTGTTTCCCACCTCCATTAGGAAGTGGACTGGTGAACGCTGATTGGCTGGGGACCCTTCAGCTTGATGATATCAGCATCCATCTAGAATTCCAGGTATCCTGTCAGAGAGATGCAGAGCCAAGGAGACTCCATATTCTTTCCCCACTGGCTCATCTAAATTTCAGCATATATAGTCCCCACCATATCTGGGCCATGGATTTTAGGAGTTCTTAGCCACATAAAGGGATCCCAGGTGACGCTACAAAATAAATACTGTTAAATGCAAGGTTGGCAATTCAAACCCACCAGTGGCTCTACGGGAGAAAGAGGCTGTCCCAGTAAAGAGTTACAGTACCAGAAATCCCTTATGAGTCAGATGCGACTCGATGGCAGTGAGTTTGATTTTTGTTTGGGCCACATGTATTCCAACTCTTGGCAATCCCATTTGTTCAAGAGAAGAAATGTCTTCTGGGGTTTTCTCACCTGTCATCTTTACAGAAGTGGATATCAGACCTTTCTCTGTGGCGCCACTGAGTACATTCAAACCTCCAACCTTTTAAAGGTTAGTACATGAGAGGTTGGTAGGTGGAGGAACCGTTAAGCATTCATTCAGCTGCTAACTGAACAATAGGCTGCTCAAACTCACTAAGCCACTGGCGATCTACTTCCATAAAGATTACAGCCTAAAATACGCTAGGGGGCAGTCCTCCTCTGTCACATGGTGTCACTATGAATCAAAAATGAACTCAATGGCACCTAACAACAACAGACAAGTGTAAAACATCGGACCAATCAGGGACGTGACCACATGTACAGAGAGTGGCTTAGTATACCTCTTCATTCTTCCTGCTATTTTGGGAATCAAAGTTAGATTAAAGGGCTCCCATTTGCCTCTCCACTCTTCAAAACGCACCCATGTCTTCCTTTGCATCCTGCTGATCCTCCTCTTGCCAGGACCCTCTATGAAGGGTGTTTAAAATAAGCTTCCGTTGATCAGCCTGAAGCACCAGCAAGAGCTCCTGCGAGACATCTTCCAGTCGCTTGTTCAAGGCACTAAAGAGTATTTTGTCATCCCTGGCCTTTAGAAATTTCAGGATATTGGATTTATTGCTGAACTTTTCTATCCTCATCTTAGCTTCTTCTAGGATTGTCTGGAAATGGTGCAGGGCATCGGTTAGCTGTACGGACAGGTTCTTCTCTCCTTGGTCCTGGAGCATCTGCAGAGGCTTCAGCAGATGCTGGATGCGATTTCCCAGGCGCTGGCATTGGTGCCGGCAGCACTTCATTTCTTCACACTGATTGTACACGAGCTGGCCTAAGGTGATGATCTGCTTCAATGTATCCATACCTGGTAAAAGCTGATGGAATAAATTTAAGTCCCACAATCACCTGTAGATTTACTACTCAACTAAGGGATAATCAAAGGGACCCTGGTGGCACTGTAGGGAAAGTGTAGGGCTGCTAACCTCAAGGGTGGTTCAAACCCACCACCCACTCCATAGGAGAAAGATGAGGATGTTAGCTCCCATAAAGATTTGCAGTCTCAGAAACTCTATATGGAGCCGCCGTAAGTCAGAATCAACTCGAAGGCAGTGGGTTTAGTTTGGCTTTTTTAAAGGGAGAATAAAGTAGGTCTGTGGATTTGAATACCTGAAGAGGTCTCCTTGCCATTCCAAAATCTGTTCCATCATATTAGAATTATAGCCAGGAAGTGTCAATCCCATTAGGACTATGTCCTCCCAGACCCCCTTGCAGCTTGATGTGGCTATGTGACTAGTTCTCACTAATGGGATATATGTCGGTTTAGTTGAGGCAAGTTTATCTTCTTTGTACTCTCTTTCCCCCTCTGCCACCTGGATGCAAAGAGCAATATGGCTGTAGGGATGGCAGAGCCCCAAGATGGAAGACCTGGGTCCCTGGATCACTGTTTAAAGGAGAGCCACCCACAGACCTGAAACATTTGCCATGGACTGTTAAGTGAAACTTTATTGTCTTTGAGCCACTACACTTTGGGGTCTATTTGTTACATCAGTTAGCCTAAGTACCCTAAAAAATACATCCTGCCAAATTGTGGGGGTTACCTTCAGAGATCAGGCAGGTAACTCAAATGAGTGAAAAGAGCTAGCCCTATGATTGTTAGATAATAAATATACAAAGCTGTCTCAGTAGAAATACAGCCTGAAAGCTCCTTAGAAGCAAGGATGGCAAGATTTTGCCTTACATACTTTGATCATGTTGTCATAGGGAGCAGTCTCTCGAGAAGGACTTCATGCTTGGTAAAGTGGAGGGTCAGCACAAAAGAGGAAGACCCTCAATAAGATGGACTGACACAGTGGCTACAAAAATGGGTTCAGACACAGCCACGGTTACGAAGCTGGTTCAGGACGAGGCAGGATTCTCTTCTATTTTACCTGGGGTTACTATGAGTTGGAACTGGCTCAATGGCATCTAACAATAACAAGGGAACCAAAACAAAGGTGTATCAGTGGAGGACTAAGGAGGCAGGGATGCCAAGGTACTGGAAAAAGAGACAAAAAGGAAAGCTTGAAGTTGGTGGAGACCAACTTCTATGCAATCCTGAGTATCCTTGAGCAACATGGCACACTAGATATTCATGGGCACTATCTAGTAGCGAAGTGGTTACAAATTGGGCTGCGAACCGCAAGGTCAGCAGTTCGAAACTACCAGCTGCTCTGCGGGAGAAAGATGAGGCTTTCTGCTCCTGTAAAGATTTACAGCCTCGGAATCCCTGTTCAGAGTCGCTATGGGTCGGAACCGACTCGACGGCACTTAACAACAACATCTAGTGGGCAGACATGTTTTATTTGGTCCGCACAGTGTTGAACTGCAGTTTTAAGACATATATGGACTTGCTTGCAATATTTAAAAGAGGAATTTAGAAACTTAACATAAAAATTCAGATTTCTGTCTGCTGTTGAAAACTGGAAGATCTTTCATCACTGGGCCCTTTACCTTGAAGAGCAACAGTTGGTGACTTACTAATTAACTTTTACTTTTTTTTTTTAGCACTTCCCCTCCCTCCCTCTGCTCACTTACCTAGTGATCAGATACCTTTACCCAGGGATCACTTTATCATTGCATATATGCTGCTTCATAACCACTACGCTATGAATCGGGATGCGAACCCCAAGGTCAGCAGTTCGAAACTACCAGCTGTTCCGCGGGAGGAAGATGAAGCTTTCTGCTCCCGTGAAGATTTACAGCCTTAGAAACCCTGTATAGGGTAGCTGTGGGTCCATGGCACTTAACAACAACAACAACGCTTGGAAAATAGGAAGAAACAAATTTCTTTGTGCCACATCAGGCAGGGCCCCATAGATGTATGTATGCCAAGACCGTGCTGGCAAAAGGTGCTTCCTATCCATCAGGGGCCACTGAATATATTCAACCACCACAAATGGACATTTTCTTAGAGAAAATATCCAACTCCCTTTCAACCCCAACGGGGGTGGGGGGTGGGGGGATGTTTATTAGTTTTAAAAGTGAAAAATCTTAAAATGGTAGTTGTTGGTTCCGACTCACAGCGACCTTGCATTGGGTCTCCAAGGAGCTGTGTGGCTCATCTTGAGGTTCAAGCCAACCTTGCGGTTCACTGCATTTATATATTATCCTGCAGTGCCTCGATGGTAGTAATAAAAAATCCATAAAGAACCCAAATGCGACATCCTCCATAAGGAAAAAAAAAAAAAAAGGTTTTAGATATCCTTTCCGGATGGGATACTTACATCAGCTTGTGCTTAAAGTGGCTCCGAGAACAGGAGGGCATAAGTCCTTAAGAAGTGGACTCACCTATATTGGGAATCTCCCTACCTACACCTGAAACGCCCATCTGTCTAGGGCTCCCAGACCACCCTCTGAGCCGGTTTACGAGACCTCTGCCCGTCTAAAACCCTTGCTCCCACTCCACATCTTGCTTTGGCAGAGGTAGAATCCAAGAGAAGCGAAATCAACTCGGTTGGGAATCGCAGGAAAGCAGCTAGCTGCGGGGTTACCTCACTGTCCAGCCTCATCCTGGAGCAGGAATCCGAGAGCGCCGCCAGAGGGCATCCGCTCGGTCCCGCGACCCCTTTTCCGGATTTTGATTTATAGTCTTGTGACCCTGAGCCTCCTCCTCCTTCCCTCCGGGCCTCAAGGCCCCGCTGGCAGTCTGGACTCAACAGATGGCCGGACGCCACACTGCTGTCCCCCAGGTCGGCCTGCTCCTCGGCGGGACCACGGCCCAGCTAGGAGGTCTGCGCGGAAGCAGTGACACGCCTCGATCGGCTCCGAGCTCGGCGCCCTGTCCCTACAAGTCTTGCCCTGACCCCTTCTTTCCTCCAGACAGTCTCCCGCCCTTCCCCCACCCCCAAAGGCATTCAGGGAAGCCCTCACCCGTGGCCAGGCTCTCTGCTTTAGGCAGGGGTGTAGAGAAGCTGGTCTACTTGCTCTCCCGATGGTCCTAACACAGCCTCACAGAATGGTACAACTCTGGAGCGGAAAGAACCGTCAACACAGACCTGTAGGTGCGGTGAGAAGCGACTGTGTGTGCTGCTGGAACTCCAGATCCTGGGGCGGAGTGAGGGCGGAGACCCGGTTGCCCCATACTTCCTCCTACGGGTGGGTGCCAGGCTCGCGTTGTGAATCTTGCTGTAGGAACTGAGGCGTGGTCAGGGCTAGACTACCTGCCCAGCGGCATCTGCTTCAGACCTTCGTTTCCTGAGAGGACAGGACTGGATTGTAGGGAAAAACTTTTTGAATTGAGAACGCCTGGGCAAGGTTGTTTGGAGTGTTTGTGTTATTTACTTGTTCCTGTACTTTTCTCTCTTTCTTTTTATTTTGAATATTTTATTGTGATTTGGGTGAAAGTGTCACACATTATTTTCTCAATTCAATTTATACACGTCTTATTTCATGACATCAGTTGCAATTCCTTCCATGTAACAGCGCTCTCCCCACTTCCTTCCTGGGTACCCTATTTTCATTCCTCCTCTGCTGCCTCTTCCTGCCTTCTGAATTTTGTTTTGGGGCAAATGTTGCCCTTTTGGCCTGGTCTGGTTGATTTTACTGGGAAGTACCTTCCTCTTGGGAGTCATTGTTCATTTTATTGTTGTTTTTGTTGTTAGTGTCATGGAGTCTGACTCACAGTGACCCTGTAGAGGGTTTCCAAGAAGTGGCTAGTAGGTTTGGGCCTCTGACCATGTGGTTACAGTCCAGTACTTCTCCTGCCGAACCCCACACCAGTCACTTTATAGGCCTGTTTATTGTTCAACTGATTCAGTTCCAGGTCTGAAGTGTGTCTAAGGGCCATAGTCTCTGAAGTTCCACCCATCGCTATCTGACCAGTAAATCTGATCTTTTTCATAATTTTGAATTTTGTTCTACATTTTTTGCTAGTCTATTCAGAACACGCCTTTGTGATCCTGATCATCCGGGTCTACTGTCTCAGGTTAAAGGAGGCTGTGATTCACGTGGTCCATTAGTCCTTCAGACTGTTTCCTTGAGTCTCATTTTTTTCACTTCTCTGGGCTCTGGATAGGAAGAAACCAACAGCTGCATTTTGGATGGCTGCTGGCAAGCTTTTAAGACCCCAGTTGCCGGTACTTAACAGCACCACCAAAGTGACTCTGTATAGGGTTTCTGAGGAATGGCTTCTGGGTTTGAACTGCCAACCTTGCAGTTCAAGCCGAACTTGAGGGCCAGTGCTTTATCCTACAGCACCACACCAGAGGAGTCCACTCACCAAAGTAGGATATAGAATATTGTCTTTGTGGACTATGACAATTGACTTAGAGATCCCTAGATCATTTGTTCCTGTATTGTTCTCCAAGGATCCCTGATGGCTCAGTGTTTAAGTGCTTGGCTGCTGACAGCTCTGCGGTTTGAATCCACCATCCACCCTGAGTTAGAAAGATGTGACAATCTGCTTCTGTAAAGATTGTTGTTGTTGTGAAGTGCAATCAAGTTGGTTCCGACACACAGCAACCTCGGATAGGCTTTCCAAGGCTATAAATCTTTGCAGGAGCAGAAAGCCTCATTTTATTTCCTTGTAGCAGCTGGTAAGCTTGAACCACTGACCTTGTAGTTCGCAGTCCAGTGCTTTATTATACAGATTACAGTCTTGGGAACCCTATGGCAGGTCCTCTCTGTCCAATGGGTTGCCATAAATTGTTGGTAATGGGTTTATTATTCTCCATTTTCTGCATCATCTGTTTCTTCTTCTCTGAAGCTTGGTTTCCTAGAAACCTTTCTCAGCAGTGGCTATGAAAGGGATGTGGGTACACAGGATTAATTGGGAGCATGCTCTCGTGACCGAGGGCAATGTAACTACCCACCGCCTCAATAAAAC